AGAGCTGAGAGCACTGCTGAGATTTCTGCTACTCCACTTGCCTCTCGGAAAGGAGACGCCGGTTTCCAGCAATGGGAATTTAATCGGCTCTAAAGACATTCTGGATGTGCGTAAAACCTGTTCTCTCCAAATTCAACATCCTCAGCGAGCAAACAATCTATAATTTCTGCATGCTTCTGCTTGCAGTACCTGTATGCTGGCTGAGATGCATTCATACACTGAAGCCGGAGAGAGCATTATTTACTATGATTACGGGTAGGACAGTGACAAGGCAGCACAGAAGTACCCAGAGTAAGAGTAAAGAACTTCCTCCAGGCTTTTTAGGCTTTGTGTGATTGTTAACAAACTGACTGTACGGTACAGACTGAAAAGTCTTCTACCGAGTAGTAAATACCACAAAAGGCGGTACAAACAAGTTGTCTTGCTGTTTTATTTAGTGGTTGTCATAACAGTTTGAAAAGCAACCAATAAATCTCAGACTTAATTGTGCATTTGAAACATGTCTTTTTCTAATAAGGTGCTTGGTTTAAACTCAAAACAGATATTAAACAGAGAGCAAGTGCACAATTAAAGGCAAGATTTAATATCAACCAAATCAGTCTAATATCAGAAACCATAGTAATTGCTTGTGCAATTAAAAAAGGGGATTGCACGATACTTTACTTGCCCAAGAGGGGGTCATCACACAGAGACAGCGTATCATTAATATGAGTTGGAATGCAGTCAACAGTTCCCAGGGTGGAACTGCTCGCTCTGATGAGCCACAGGAAGACTAATTGGTGTAGCACCTTTCCCATGTGCAGCTGTGCTGCTGAGATAACATATAGATACTTATACTACTGTAGAATATATAATGCACAGAAAAATGCCACTACATTGCAATTTATATGCAAAACGCACACGCACACACACAGACATGTACAAAATAAACTATCACGTGCACACAATTACTCAAACATCTCCCTACACACATATCCCAGGAGATGAAGAAGTAGCGACAGAAATGAAAAATACCTCAGTGAGGAAAAATCAATTAAACGTATTTCTTTGTCTGCAGGGGACTATACTCTCTACTCCAGTCATATGCCCCTGGAGTGGTGGGGGGCTGCAGAAGCCCAGCAGCAGCAATAACAACCTCACAAATGCTGAGCCAAATCCCCAGCCGCTGTAAGTCAACTGACACCACAAAAAGACACCTTTGAAGTGGTCAGAGAACTCAGTTACACATAGCAGTGAGAACTTATGAGGATTGACTTGATGCCAAAGACACATTTGTGTAAAATCCAGCGATTCCATTTCAAGGCCGCTTTCCGTAGAATTAGAATTACTAGACAAAGAATGAGGAAAGCCATCCAATTTTACCTCATTGTTCTTGCCAGACTGCTGTTTCGCGTTGCTGAAATAAGAAACAATAAGAGCTTTGAGGCAGCCAACTAAGAAGAATATCCTTTGTTTTTTGAGTTTTTTGAACAAAATCTATGTGTCATTGGTAAAAAGAAGCACTCTTAGAGAATCAAAGAGCTTTTCAGTGTTGTAAATTCTCTTTACACTATAAAACACATAATCCTTTATCTGTTGGTATAGCTACATATTTGTCTTGCAGTCAAAATGATATGAGATCTGGCTGCACAAATAAAATAGAGATCTCATCCGTGCCAATGCTATGAGCGAGACTGGAAACTGAAGTGTGTGTTTGTGTGTGTATAAGGTTAATGATCCTCTGCCCTTTATTGTAATGATGATAACGATCACCGGAGTACAAGAGCACATCTGGAGGCTGCAGTGGTGAGAACAGACCAACATGGGAGGGAGATGATCCGTGAATAATGCAACGCAAAGGAGGGGATTCAATAGCCAATCAAGCCAATGTCCAGGAGAGACATAATTTACTACGGACAGATGCGACGAAACATAGCCCCTGACAGCACAGACAGGAAGACAAACGGCACACTTTTACTGGCGCTCATTTTTCTTCAATATATAGTAAATAACATTTCCCAGTTTTATGTAATTCATCACTTGTTTCTATTGTTTTTTCCTGTAAAAAGCCTGCAGGCTCTCCAATGGGATAGTTTTACCAGGCGCTAGTTTGCCCTGCAGGAATCTCCTACTTTATTTAAGTTCCTACAGTTGGCAACTGATATATAAAAAACATAAAGCAAATCTGTGTTTCATGAAATATTAGGTGAAATAGAACTTGTATGATTTTTTAAATTCCCAAATAATTAATAAGCTCATCTCTCAAATCTTTAAAAACTACAAATATAAAACAACAAAAGTCTGCAGCCATGCTTGCGGCTCTATGATGCTGTACTTCTTCATGTTCACCATCTTAGTTCATCTTAGTGTGTTAGCGTGCTAAAATTCGCTAATTAACACTAAACACAAAGTACAGCCGAGGATGACGGGCATTTCATTACCAATATTTCCCTCCACAGAGCCACGCTGCTAGCATGGCTAAAATTGCTTTGTGACCAATATCCGGTGTGAATGTAGAGTAGCAGCTCCATCATAAATTGACACAGAGCACAGTGACGATCACAGTCAGTCTCTTTTACAATCATGCCTCAAGGACATCCTCCAGCAGATTCAGAGTACAGACGTTACAGCATCAGTCATCCCTAGTAGTAGATGAAGGAGAGCGCAGAAGGAGCACGAAAGAGAAAGTGGGGGATCAGGAGAGCAGAAAGAACTAAGAGACAAAGGCTTTTTCAACAATAACTCCTAATAGTTCCTTTTAACATTTGATTCCTGTTTTGTTGTCAAATCATTGGATTGTAGTTTTAGATTTTGTACATTTAGCGGACATATCGAAAGCTAACAATGACAAAGCTGTACTGCATTTCATAGCATTCCTGTAATTTTCATTTAGCAAATTAGTCTCACTTCCTCACTACTTATAGATTTCCTATGATTTGAATGGCTATGAATCTGTACATGACAAAATGAAGGATAACTACAGTACAACATCTGAGCAGTAGAAAGCCAGAAATGTCCAGACAAATTCAAGAGACGGAGCTTGACATTTTGCCTTGTGCCCATTGATATGTATGTGATAGGACTGGCCAGAGAGTAAAATATGACAGAGTTGATAAATCACAGAACGCCCAAAATCACATCACTTCTCTTGCAGTAATCGGAAGTACCAAATGTTGTACTTAACGCACATAAACCTTAACGAATATGCATGCCAACATGAGACAGTCATGTAGAGTACACAACTTTACAGCAAGCAGCAGCAAGTCATCAATTATTAATAACCATGTACAGTACATGTATGTATGTAGTTTACACAGTACTAAATGTATAACTGCTGGCAGGAAGTGTGAACAAGAGTGTGGGTGAGAAAGGACACTTGCTCATAGCATCTTCTGCACATACAGTAATACCCTCTCTGATCCAGAGTACAAAAAGCCCGTATGGATTGCCCTTTCAATTTTTAAACACTGTTCCCTTAGAGGAGCAATCAATTATGAGAGTGATGGGTCATCAGACCAAAACGGGCCAACATGGTTAAATACATGCTGGAATAACGGCTGGATAATGAAATTAATACCATCCCCCGCCAGTCACCTTGATGCGTGATTGAAAAGCATGTGTCCGTATGAGCGGTCTTGTCAATCAGTTGTGCAGAATTGACTGGATACTTGATGTGTATGTGGGTTGAGTCACTGATTTCTTAAAGACTTATTGTCCTTGTGAGTTTCCAGGCCTGATACCCTTGTATCAGTCTCTTATAAGCCGACAACAATGGAGTCTGATTATGGTATTATTCTTCTTATAGGGAGTGAATGCACTAATTAATTTAATTACGCATGTGTTGTGTGTGTGGGGCAGGAGCTCCTCCTGTGGTTCTGGTTAATGGCATATTAATCCTCTGGGCTGGGATCTTAACTGCGCTCCAGTTATATGTCCTAGAAATTAACAAGTTTAACAGGAATATCAGCTAAGAAGTATTAAGACGAGAAATTTAAGACCACTTCACAGTGGCCTAAATCCATCATTATAGAACATTCTGCAGATGTTGAGGTTTTGAGACGAGGCAGCTGCTTGACTTTTTAACAATAAAACTCAAAGTTTGAACTGTGTATCCCAACAAATATATAAACAAATCTGGAATGACAAGACCTAGTAATTAGAAGAGACAACATATACTGTATGAGATGCTGATGTAAGGGTCCCTATACATTTTACACACAAATTCCGTGCTTTTCTAGACTCAAACTTCCAGATGTCTTGGTGTATTTTTCAGACCGTATCTGAAATCTGAGTACAAATAGCTAGATGTTTATTATGTAAATAAATGTTTTTTAAATCCAACTGTTGTTAACATGTATGTTCAATATGTGACTATGTATGCTTTTATGTTGCCAAATAACTGCCAGAAGATTGTAGCTAGGTACTGCAGCTCATACAAATCAATTAACACTAAACGATTGTCGCTGTTCAGTCCACACTCCTATGTAGAAAGTTGGAAGTAAACTAATCGGTGCTACCTAAAATCATATTATCCTTTAACATATTGAATAAATAATATTATCCCATATTTTCTGTCTCTTTTATAAAAGAGAAGCGAAAACGAGTTGAAAAAAGTTTAATACTTTAACTTTTCACGGCGTCAGTGCAGACTTGTTTATTCAGCAAACACAGCAAAATAGGTATTGTTTCCATACGCAGAAAAGATCGTCCATTTACTTTTCTGTTGACTACGTCACCGCATAACTCAAATGTCCAGACAAGCTTAAGATATGCTTATTTGTAATTCTATGCAATTCAAACATATCGCCACATTTTCTTTCAAACTAATTTGGTCGCGGATGTGTGGATTTGATGCAGTTATGAGGCACTTGGAGCAGACAGTATGGTGTTGAGGCAGCTCTGCGTACGAGTGGGCGCTCAGTCGCACGCCATACTTCTTGAATTTATTTTTAGAAATTCAGCATTTAGAAGATGGTAGAAAGGTGAAAAAGCAAATAATGTGTACCTCCCTGCTGTCCTACCTGCCTTCTTGAACCTGTCCAGCAGGTTTTGTCTGACCACCCTCTGCAGGTTGAAGTAGTCGTCGTCCTCGTCAGGGCTCTTTAGGTACAGGGGAATGTGCTGGAACACCAGGATGTGCTTGGGTTTGGGTTCCTGAACAGAGACAGATGAGGTGAGGGATGGGTGCATTACTGATCTCCAAACACAAAATTCAATTGTTGCGTCAAATGGCTACAGATGGCAGCAGTTATTTAAAGGACCAGACACAGCAAAAGGAAGACGTTATCTAGCCAAACATCTTCATAAATCAGACCAGAACAGAATCACGTCATTGATGCTATACTACCGTTGAGGAGGCAGCTCGGCTCAGCTGCTCCTCGAGCCACGTCTCCTGGGCATCCTTCAGTTGAGGGCAGGCAGAGGCGTCATAGAACAACTGGGAGTTCAGAACCAGGCAGAAGACTCCACCCACCTGAAACAATGGGAGAAAGAAACAGAGAGATGTGGTCGGTGAAGGTTTTTTTCCTTTAGTAATTAAATCAGCTCATTTTAAAAATGCCACTACAATTGCTTATACCCAAGGGCAACATGAGACGTGAGCAGGGCCTTTGGGGTTATGGGGGGCTCGTGGCATTAAAAAAGGTAATCATGGGTAGAAACATGAAAAAAAACTTTGTATACATGAAAGTATTCCTATATGTAGATGCTGAGTGGAAATTAAGCATCAACCATGATTTCACAAGGTCAGAAGAAGCCTGTCGACGCAGAGATGGGGACTCGAGTTTGAGACTCGGGCTCGAGTCCGACTTAAGTAAAAGAAGTGCTGAACGCAAAATAGGTTAGTTAACTGAGGTTAGTAAACATGTTTAGCTCAGCATTGGCCATCTAACGTTAGCTTGGTTCTTGTTTTAGCTATGACCTACGGGAGGTTAACTCCGACTGTCCTTTGTAATGAAAAGATGATTCAATTCAATTTCAATTCAATTTTATTTCTATAGCGCCAAATCACAACAACAGTTATCTCACAGTGCTTATCATAAAAGAGCAGGTCTAGATCGTACTCTGTGATGTTATTTACACAAACCCAACAATTCCCACCAAGAGCAAGCACTAGGCGACAGAGGCAAGGAAAAACTTCGTTTTTAGGAGGCAGAAACCTCGAGCAGAACCATGGCTCAGGGTGGGCGGCCATCTGCCTCGACTGGATGAATGAGTTTACTTGCCAAACTTGTGGTGGTCCATTAATGTAATCATTTACGTCCTGCTGGCAGCTGTCACGTTAATTATTAACATTGGCTGCAAACAGGTTACAGGTTTATTGTTGAACATGTAATGCTACAGTTTTATTTAGTTAGCGTTACACTGGGTTTGAGAGTCTGCGGGGTGTGTTGACTTACAGTAGGCTAGTTAATAAGCTGTCATTAATTGCATTGCAAATTAAATGGTTGTGCTCTGTAACTGAAAAACAGGTTACAGTTACAGAATTCCTTATAGCTACGCAGTGTTATAAGCAGTCTGATTGAACACAGCAGGTGATATACTACATTCATTGTAACCACGAGTGACTTGAGAATTGGTCTCTAGCTCAAACACTTGTGAGCATCTCTGGGTTGACGTAGAACATTTTTCAGTTTATCCAGTTTGCTGTGTGGTCCTGGTTGTGGCCCCGCACTAAATTTAATTCTCATATTAACGCATCAATAGAAGCATGTTTTTGTTTTGTTTTTCAAAGGGGCACTCCACTGATTTAGATTTTAGTTTTATTATGTTTAAGCCCAACTTTATGCTACTCCTTTAACTAAAAATAACCTATGCTGTACATGATATGCACAGAGCCAGTAAAGTCATCAACATTAAGGGTGTACTCACACCAGGCGATCCGTACCGTGCCCGAGCACGTGTAACCCCCAAAGTCCGGTTTGTTTGACCAGTGTGATCGCTCCGTGCCGTGCCTGGGCCCACCTCTTCAAGTGGGCCCGGTTTGGCTGGACTCCGGCGCAGTAAGCATGTAGTGTGATTGCTAACTGTCCCCGAGCACGGACCCCCGACACAAACTCCACTGTGCCATTTTAGAGAGAGTGCAGTGCTTCCCACAGAATGACAGTTGATACTGACTTCCGCCTATGTAGGCTACAGCGTGCTTACCTGGACAACCCAGCTGTGATATAACGTTAACATAGCTCTCCTTATTAGCTAGGCTTCTTACATGCTTGCTAATAACTTTTTTTTAAGTGGGTCTCCGACATTGACAGTTGTGTTGGACAGATTTGTGCAGCGGTGTTTATGAGAGAGAGAAGGGGAGACAAGGTGATGCGCAAATATATACACAGCACTCTGCAATCAACTACGACTAGTAAAAAAAAACAAAATCACACATCAATATGTGGCGGTCGGCATTGATACTGTGGTCGCCACAAACAAATCAATGTATGGGAAACACTGACTTAGTGATGACGTAAATGTGCTCCGGCTCGGATCATTAGCCGCAGTGTGAGCGCAGGCCAGCGGGGGAGTGGGGAGGGGGCAATTGTTCTCAAGCACGGTAAAAGGCAACCGGGCCTCGTGTGAGTACGCTCTAACAGCAGGGAGAGGGTATGCGGGGAGAGGGTATGCGTAAGGCATGCATGCATGAGCATCTAGGTTAGAGCCTTTAGCATATTTTGGCCCATGGTCTTGATAAGCCTCCAAGCCACTACAACTAAATGTCTTGGGTGTCTGCTTACCCAGAAACTAAAATAGTCATTCCCCCAAGCACTGCAGTAATGCTCCACTGTCCTTGGGGTGGGGGTGTTTCCCAGGTCATGGTTCCCACTCACAAATACCAGCGGGATGGAGGGATCTGTCCCCATCAAGGCGGCCTTCAGGTCTCGCTCCTGATCTTCTCTGTATGGGGTGTCTAGGGTTGAAAAAAAAGGGGAACTCATTTTCACAACAAGAAAGACAGTGATGAAAAAAATCCACATAGAAAAACAAAACAATATTGACTTGGGTGAGAAAAATCAATGCTTGATTATTAATATTGATAATAACATCTTAAGTGGACGAGATAAAATGAGTCGAGGAGAGAAATTTATATGAATGTTGATGAAAAGTGTCAGGTTGAGAGCGTGAAGGGTCCTACAGGCGAGAGTTGCCCAAGGGAAGGGGGATTATTTGGATAATAACGACGACAGCTCTGAGAATGATCAATGCTCTGTACAGCTTGACTTTATATCACCATGGTTACTGACATGATGAGTAGTGTTCTGGTGCAAGCTGCCCCGGTCTACACGGCAAACCAAACCTTTCTGCTGAACTGAGCGCCATCACATCTTCAGATACACAAGGCTGTTGGTTTTACAAGATCTTTCCAATGAGTTTATTTGTTTGCTGTGTTAAAATCAGGAGTACTGAGCCTGGAGTTCAGGAAAAGGAGAAGCGTGCATAAAGGAATAAAGAGCTAAATTAATTCACTCCCTGCATAGGTAAAGGGCAGACAACAGGTGAGACTAAAATCTATTTATAATTTAGAATATATATCAAACAAAGCTATGAGCCTCTGCTCTTAATGTATTCATTCCTCTCCCTCTTTTCCGCTCTTTTCCTCTTTATTCATCTGAGCAATTATTTTACTGGCCTACTTTTGGAGCAAACGTTTCCTTGGATGTTTGGATAGGACTCATTACATAAGAGCCTTTTTTCTTTTTCCTGAGAGAACATCTTGTGCATGACAGAGTGAGAGAATGTAATGTTTAAAACATCGTTTTCACCTGTCTCTCTCCTATAATTAAGCTAGACTGTCAGGACGTCAAATCACTAAAACCCACAAACATGCACTCAAATACGAGACACACAAAGACCCTTTTTGTTCTTTTTGAGTCTATGTGACACTTTTACTACAGCATTCATTTTCAGGTTTGGAGAGTAACTACTTCTGTGCTAAAAATAAAAATAAAATGTTCACAGATCATCTCTAGTAGTCAACAATGTTGTAAAGTATTGCACCTGATTGGCTAGCCTAATATGGGCTGATGACGCCTGAGGAGAAATATTGTTAAATAATTGACTCTCTTGGTCTGGGCAATTAAACATGTCAGCGATAACTTACCACGTGTCAATAAAAAAATGGAATGTAATGTCGTCGTGCATTTGGTTCTGTAATAATGATACAGTAATTATTTCATGGATTTTACAAATTCATTTGCATAATTTTGTTCCAGGAATGTGCCATTAAATGTGAAGCAGTTTTATCTTTCTTATCAATTGACAGTGTTATCAGTGATTATCAATTAATAAATAAGTGCCAATGGATTTCCAGCAGGTGATGTGTAGTGCAAAAAAACCCAAACATCTAGTTTGGGGAGCTGACGGTTTGAAGCAGCACTGATGAAACGAAGACAGCTGAGGCCACAACAATGTGTACTAATTATTCCAAAATCACAATATTTGACCGCTGCCACAATGACGTACAAAGAAAGGCAGCCACACTAATGAAGCTGGGACAGAGAGTAGGGGGTGCAAAGGTTGTCATTTGAAATGCTGAGGCAATTGTTGCAGCTGCAAGCTCACAATTAACCCTGCTGTTAGAGACAATTGGATTTTAATAGATTTTAACAATTTATTTACAAGTGGATAATTTCTCTTGTTTCCATTTCTATAAGGTCAGTTTTCTCTGAAGTATTCAGTAAGCTTAGAAAATCTAGAGAGGATAGTGAATGAGAAGCATCCTACCTTCTTTTAAACACTATCAATGTGCCCTTTGGCAAGGCACCTGACCTTGTCAGCTGCTCCAGTGGAGCTGGTCGGCAGCTATAAACAGAAAAAAATGTTTTATGCTTGACACCATCTGAGTGTGAATGTGTGTAATCGAGAGAGTGTGAAGCAGGATGGGGTTCAACAAGAGTATGTGGCCACACTTTACTTTCCCTGGATAAAAAAAAAAAACGTGAAAAAAAATAGCAGAGGTAGCCAAACACAGCGGCAGGGACACTGCGCTGCCTTCTGCTTGCTCACACCTCCAGCTGCCTGGCCTCAACTACAGCCATCCGCTAACATGGCAATACCCATGAATCATCCCTCAGCACTACACAGCGCAAACCAATCCTCAACCACACAGTACCCCATCAATTTGCATTTGAGACACCTTGCTTTAAATAAATGAGGAGCGATTGTGGGCATGACAGCATTAAGGCGCCAGGCAGTTTAACATTTGTAGGTTGTTTAGATACATATGCCCTGCTGCAGATGGAAAGTCTGGACTGCCTATTTACTATAAATCCAGATTCATACTTATCTAGTTAGATTTGTCAATGAACATGTCCTCCTTCACCACTGGTAATAGTGCCATACAACACTGAGCAAATAACCACTTGCTTAGAAAGGTGTAGAATACAAGGGGGAGTAGAGGATTTGTGATTTCTGTAAAGTATGCCCGATTTGAAAAAAATGACAAAGGACATACAGAAGAGAGTAGTAAAATGCTGCAGGTGGGTTCACTTAAAAAATCATCAGGATACCTTGTGCACAGGAAATAATAACGGCTCATGAAAGATTTTATGAGGAATTGATTTGTATGCATACATTTGCTCACCCTTCCTCTTCTGGAATAAGCAAGATATGTGCAGAGTAGGGTATACGGAAATAAAAGCACAATGCTCCTCTCCGCGCTCTCCAGAGCTCTGACTGAAAGGCCTTGTTCACTTAATGAGATTGCAACACTGCGATTCTCAACCCTTGACAGGAGACTTTGACAGCTTCTTGTTGAGCCTGTCCAACACTGTAAGCACTTCTCTCAATTTCCTCTAAAGTCTGGCTGTCGAGACTGCACATGCCTTCAGTGCGTGGGGTCTTGCTGTCGCATACATCTTCTGCACTTAAACAACTGTATTTTCAATGTGTGGGGACCTTTGTGACTAGCTCGAGCATGTACTGGCATTGACGAGCTGTGATGTGGCAGTTGCCAACAGTTTATGAAAAGATGGTTGACGGGATGAAGTCATATTAAACGAAGCCTACAACCTTTCACACACACCTAACCTAGTTACATTATGCTGGGAATGCTGGATCAATCATGTAAGAAATTCACAACAAACACTGTCAGCTGTCACCATTAAACTAGAGGTGTCCTGAGCTGATCCTCAGGACCGGGGATATTTTAAAGGATCGCATTGAAGTGTGTACGGTTAGTGCATAACAGCGCTGGTAAGTTCTGACACCCATATTGGCAAAATAGCATTATAGGACTTCCCTAAGCTCGAACTCAAACTCTCTCTTTTTGATTAGCAAAGAGCAGTCTACAACGTGAAGGTATGAGATCCTTTAGTGGTCTAACTTAGATGAGACCCCAAGACAAGCCCTGAGCATGATGGGAGCATGATAGGAGGACATGGCTGGGGAGATGGACATCTGGGCTACCTGAAGTAGTCCGCTGCGAATGTGACCGGATAAGCCTACAAAAGTAGATAGATGGGGAGATTCACCCTGACATTTACCATGGTTGTCTTACAGGGTCTAAAAACATCTTTTCAAGCTGACATTTTGGACTGTATCTCCTGGGCTCCTATGAAATGGTGAAGGATAAAAATGGAAACAGAGACACGTTTCTAAATTTCTACATTCCTGGCAGTCTCAAACCCCCTAAGAATCCTATTACTAACTACAAGCCACTGGCCGATCTCATTAGCTAAACACACAGAACCTCCCTGCTTACCCCCCCCCCCCCAAAAAAATCCTAAATGCTTCCACATGTACAAAAACAAATTCTCCTTAGGCATCTTCTCCTCTACTTCAGAATCCCACAGAGAGCCCCATTTTATCTGCCTTCAACAGCAATTAAACAGGATTCCACAGTTACAGAGATGGGACAGGGAAGTCCCAAGGTAACCTTTACTTCACCTTTTTGAGTTTTACACACGCACATGCACACACGCAGACGCCGACACATACTTGAACACTTCTCCCCGCTGTATCATGCGTAACATCCCTCACGAACCCTCTGAGACAAAGCCTGAATCCTTTGTAGTGCTCATTAGGAGAGTGTTAAGTCCAGCGTGTTCCTCTAATCTAATCAGCTCTGTATCCCCCACCCCCAAACCCCCCACCCCCCCACCCCCCCACCCTCCTCCCTCCAACCTTCTCCCTTGCTCTTTATCCTCTTCATTTGTCAGCTTTGAAAATAAGTGAGCGAAAGACACAGGAGGGGGAAAGTGAGTGAGGGAGAGGCCGAGAAAGAGAGGCAAGATTGAAGGAAGTCCTTGAGATGAGAAAGCCTCTCTTGGGGGTTAGCTTAGATTGGAGAGGAGACAGGGAATTGGGATCAAGGAACATTATATCAGCAAAGGTCTGGATAACACAACATCGGTGGAACAAACGCTGGCATTTCTTTACCAAGCATGACCTAAGATTATTTAGTTTCAGGAAAGGGGACTCTACGTTGTGGACCACTGTGATGGGATGCAAATAAAGCCTTTGAGTCCATCAGGGTTCCCCTCCATCTTGTCTGAATAAGCCCTACTAATTTCCACTTCTCCGGCCTAATAAAAGGAAGGAAATGGCCTAAAGCGCAAACCCAATATTGACGAACACGGTGACCCTTATGTTTTTATTGTTTGCTCCAGAACAATCACAAGGACAGACAGACCTTTGGATTCATCCACACTAGCTTTAATTTACATGGGTGCTTCAAATAGATTCATCAGAGGAAAGAACAAATCAGCATGTTTGTGTATGGTGTTGGGCTTGCAAATTAAGGTTGTCAAAATAAGGTATGAGGCCGCAGCTGTTTACTAAAGAGAACAGACAGATGAGAGAGAAAGACCAAGAGGAGAGAGCAAGAAAAGAAAAGAGAATGAGATAGAGAGTGTGAAATCCGTGGGAACAGAAATACAGTTGCCAATTTCCTGTCGCCGACAGGCAGCAGTGTTGACAATGCCGGTTGACAGCCAGCTTCCCCTGGCCGCCACCCATTCATTCTGTATTGTAAATAAACAGTTTAAGGGGAAATGTCAGCCGAGAGACGTTAGGAGCGGCTCCGGCTATAACAGGTCTTCCCTCCTCTCTACAGAAGCAGCAGCCCAGTTGCCAGGCAAGTGACGGACGTGGTGAATAATGAGGATGGCACACACAACCTGCTCTGTTACGGCTGACAGTAACAAGGGCTGATGCCACGGCATTTAAAGATCCCCAAGGTCTCGCAGTTTAAACCCCATGCTTACCAACTTATTAACTGTGCATCTGGAGGGAGGGGAGGGGGTCAGTCATGGAGATGATAAGGATACAGTGACTCCTACAGCATGACCTTAGATGATGGGGGAGACAGCTCCAAGAGTGTTCATGAATATCCCAGTGCAGATAAAACTGGTGGTTTTTATGACCCACAAAAAACAGAAGAGGAAGGGTTTATCTGTGACTAAGCCAAGCCAGATATGTGTTGCTTATGAATAGTTTGCCTCGAGTCAAATTTTAGAAATAGGGGCCAAGGACATTTTACAAATGACACACTGCACCACATAAGCAAATATTCTACTTCTGCTCAATAACTTGCGCCAATAAAAGAGACAGACCGAGAGACAGGAAATGCAGAGATGGAGAGAGAGACGGGCTCGCCTTCTTGAGGCCAGGCAGCCAGACAGGCTGCTCATGGTATTCCTTAATTGGCATGCAAAGGTAGTTTGCATTGGTTGGCGGCTTGTGGCTCTTTTTGTTGAACATTAACTCTGCAGTGGGTCCTGCCAGCCTGGCCCTCTTACCCTGTTATCTAATCAGGCAGCTGGACACAGAAGAACACGCACATCACGCCACAGTCACTCATTTCATTACAGTTACTTCAATGAAAGCATCCCGTAGCCACTAATTCCTGCCAGTCTACACAGTCATGGGCTTTTAGAGAAACACAAGTATTGTCTACAGCTTTAAAAGGTATTTTACTTTATAAGTGGAATGAGCTGGTTTATGTTTACAGGCTAGAATTAATCATCACATCTCTGTCACCGCCGAAACAGAGACACAGCCACAGAGAAGGGAGCACAGGAACACATCATGAGTCAAACACGGCATGTCAGTTGCAAACGAGATGGGAAATCAGCAGCAAAATTATTTTGTTTACTCGACCAGCTGGAGGTAACCAACTTTTTCAAACCCAGTTCTATTCTGAAAATCTATTTGTTTGGCTAGACAGTGAAAGCATCTGGTGAATTAAGGAAACCAGCTGCCACAGTCAGCTCGCTGTCCTGGTTCCAAGACATCTAACATGTCTAACTCCCAGCTCAAGATTGATGGAGAGAGACCAATGTTCACTATTGTTAGAAATTATTGACAAACTAAATGATTAAATAAAAAGGCCTCATATTCTCCATCTGCAACCAGTATACAGTAAAGTTGAAATTTTACCTTCTTACAAACATCTTGAAGGCAGCCAGGTGCTTCTGATAATTAAATATTGCATGCTCTCACATGGGGTTAAAACATCAGACCCCCTGTTTGCAAACTAGACTTTATGAACAGAGCAGAAAATGTACATGTACATAAATATTTGCTTATTTAATATATAATCATATCAAATTGCTATTTAAGCGTCTAATTATATAATTATTTATGCCATTAAATATTTAGTTTCGGCCCTGAAAACCCTCCATAACACGTTTGCCTCCTAGAAACACACCGGTGCTGTTTTTTGTAGGTTTGTTGACTTTGAACAGGACTTTAAAATGTGGTTGGTCTAATCAATAGTCAAAATCTTCATCAGCACTGAAACTATGCTTGAGAATAGCCAGAAGGCCTGTGCTATTTCATAGATAAATATCAGCTGCTGTCATAGGGGAGTATGTTGTTTACAAACTCTGGCTGGAAAACAGCGAAGGCTGATGTTCAAACCTCTGTATATTATATTCTGTAGCTGAACCATCCCAAAGCTCATGTTCTTTGCGGAGTGCATTAATCAGATTAGGACTATCTCGGAGGACATCTATAGGCATCTACATATACACACGTATTCCAATATTTTTAGAGACTGATGAATGTCAGAAAGATTGCTCTGCTTCTGCTTACAACATATATAACATAATCTGCACTGCAGCAATGGACTACTACATGAGGCGCAGGAAGGTTTGAAAGGAGACTTGCTACATTCTTTGTATTGACTCACTTTATATCTGTAAATGGCACAATTCAGTATAATAAAACACCATGGCTTTTGTATGTGTCCTTTATGGTTTTATTAAATATGTTGGTCAAATGCCATTCACTATTGTCAGACATGCATAAATGCATTGATTTTGCAGGCCATCGCAAACCAATCCTGCCTGCTGCAAAGGGGTCAAAAATGACAGTTGCATCTCACAGTGAGACTCAGATTAAACTGCATGCCTATTTGGAGTCTATATATGACAGAAAAAGCATGCAATTTTTAATGCTTTCAGTCAGAAACATTATTGCCACATTTTACTATTATGACAAATATATCTGAGATTTGCATAATAGCTCCTTTCAGAGCAGCTTTCCTGCCTTATCAGAAAGTCATCTCACACTGGGCAGGTGAAAAACTAAAACCCACAGTGGAAATAGAGTGCGTGGAGTCAGCTTTAACACTGCTGATCAGTCTGACCTCTGCACATCACAAGGTTGAAATATCAGTACAAATGCCTGATGTGTCAGAGATAAGATATGTGGTAAGTTTAAGTAATCATCCATTTATCAGTTTAAACTGAATGACACTTCAGCTTGCAAAGGCTATGATGGTCACTCACAAGTGAAAAGCACTTAGTCGCAGCTGCAATAGTCTACACCAAATACACTGCGAGTAAAGACTGGTATGGTCACAGGGAGTATTGGTTTGTATGGTGGATTTATAGTTATGTGTTATAGCTTAGCTATGGAGCTAACACACAGAGCTGATGAGCATCTCCTCAAAATCTCAAAACCACAGCAGCTACGGAGATACCCCGCGGTGACGGCAAGAACTGCAATTGGTCAGCTTTGGTTGCTTGTGTGCATAACGAGTTTCTGATCCCCCGAAGAAATTGTTAATAGCGGCATTATACAACATTAAGCAAGTTATAGAAAGTGTCTCTAATCTGTTGCTTTTTAATAACACACATCTAGCAAAGCCATCTCCACAGCAACCCTTCTGCTTACTGCGATTGCTGCTCTGCAAGCACGTAAAAATGGCAGTAGCAATATCTGTCTAGAGTTGTGGTGGTAGTGATATTATTGTGTGTAATGTGACGCTGAACTACAAACACATACCCTGACCCCTAACCCTAATCTGTGTAGTACAAACCCAGCTTAAGCATCAGCAATTGCATTTAGATGTATGGAGCTCTGGGTTTCATTAGACAGATCAATAGATTAATACTAAACATGGGTTGCAGAGATGACTTAATGTTCTTGCCTGGAAGTTCAATTTCACCAGAGGTAAACTGTTATACTCATAAAGGAACAACTGATGAAAATCAATAAGATGTCAGTCATTTTATGAAGCTGTACTGCGTGTATGAAAGCAGGACGCAAATCCCAAAGTTCAGCAGTTGTTTGTTTAAATTTTTTGGTTTGATGGCTGATAACATGATTGCACAGCCCATCATTTAACAGCCCAATTCAAACGAGGTGATTGGCAAAACGGTGTAGTGTGTGAAATCACAGCTCATGTTTCTAAATAGTTTGCTGTTATCTGTAATTAGAGAGAGCCATTTAAAACACTTTGAAATAAGTGTTGCATTCTCATGAGCCTGAGTGATGCAGCAGATGCCACGAGGTAACGCTCATGGGACCACTGCTGTGTCATCTGGTCTGACTAAAAGGGGAGGTAATGCTCACGTGACTGGCATCTGTGAGTTCACATCATTTCCTCCAACATTAGGTGGATAATTGGCTGCTACTCTGGTTGATGCCAATATCTTGTTTTTACTGTCCATACGGCTATGTGTCCACTGGGGACCTCTTTTCGCTGCTGTGGCTTGTTTTCAGCAGGAAGCATGTGCTGTTGTAGTTTCTCTGCAGCTGTCAGAACTCGTGTATTTATCGCTCGGAGAAGTTAAAAATATTTCAGTGTTTGGCAAAAAAAAGCAATGTACTTCAAAGAGCGTTTCATCTCAACAGCAGGACCCGCACTTGGTGCACGCACTAAACACCTGTTGAGCGCTACTAGCTAAAATATGTCTTTACTGTGTGAAAAACTGAAATGACAGCTTAATCATTTTTGGCAGTAGTCATGCTCTCCTGTAGTTCTTCAAACCTTCGTTTTCTAAAAAAAAATTTAAAGTGCAGTGCATGTCCTTTATGTGCTCTATCCATACCGGGCATGGCATGGACCAGGTCGCCACACAGCACCATGAACCTTGGCCTGGGTCGGAGCTGGTTCACTGCCTCCACAGCCTGCTTGGTGAGCTCAACCTCCTCGGCCCACTCGTCCCCTCCGCCATCACAGTCGCCCTCCCTCCAGGCCTTCATCAGCCCGAGTTGGGGGTCTGCGGCCTGGATGAAGTAAAATGGTCCCGTCCACTCACGCTCTGCATCTGGAGCAAGAAGAGACAAGAATGGACTTTGTGAACACTGATTATTACCAAGACCACGATGCAATATAATTTTATTTAAAAGCTACATCAGGCAGCTTTTTGCTATTAGGCAAATGGAAGCAAGGAAGAAAAAAAATGGTGACTTTATCAAAGCTGCACTAAATAATAGATAAATTTACTACATATAATAAAGAAAGGTGTTGCTCATAGTTGTTCTCAGCTCTACTGGGCATTTTAGCATATTTCAGCTTATTGTTTGGGTTTTACAGCCCTCAACTTTAAGATTTTACAATCTTGTTAACCTCAATTCCAACAGCGGCAGGGAGTTGTTTTCTTTACCCACAATATACTTATTGTCCAGCACCAAACTGCAAGACAAAGAAAATTAGCTACTAGCTGGTAAACAGGGTGGAGCATATAGCAGCTTGAGAACCATTGCAGGAGTTACTGAAGAATACAACAGCGCTAAATGGAGAGTGAATATTGGACATAGATTCATCAGGTGGCCAAAAACACGACTCTAAGTGAATGAAAATGTTGCTCAATGTCTGCTGGATGTGTAAATAAGCGACTGTTTGCCAACACATTCACCACAACAACTTCATAAGGGGATAAAATGTCAATGTTGTGTTAACACATCACCTCTTGGGATCAATAAAGGCTTATCTTATCTTACAGCTTGTTGCACTGCCACCAAATAAACAAATAAATCAATATAGACTTAATATTGTATTGCATTTATATTGAAACAAAATACATGAACTCTTATTTATTTCACTGTGTTAGAAGGCTGTTTTACATGAACAAAATGCAACACTTATTTTAGGTTCTCATCCAGTTTGATAAAAATTTACCATCGATTTACACCTACTCGATGGGGAACCAGCTTGAGCACCTGGTGTGGAAGTAAGTGTACACACAGGCTATCTTTATAGAAGAATTTTTCATGACAAATATACAGAGAAACGGCAATTGATACTAATTTACAACATTAAATTACAACATTAAATTCAAAATCAAAGTGTCATTGTACCCATTAATGGAATCTGCATTATAATCAGGTACTTTAGCTCATTCACTTCGTATCAACTTCAAATTCTTGCAGCATCTGAATATTTTAATTTCAATACGTTGAGGTTAACAGAACATATTGAAATGCTGTACTTGCTCAGTACAGTGCACAATGTAGTACGCAGAAACATTAAAGCTTTAGGGATTAGGTGTCATCTCAGCCTTAGTCATTCAGCGGTATAAGGCCTGCTGTGAAGGCTTCATGTAGAAGCCTTCTATTCATTCTTGGAATTAACGCAACACTTGATTATCAGGATGATCAGGACTTAGGGGCCGGGAAATGAAGAAGGGGAGCGGGGAGGGGACTAACGTACAGCCTTTTGTTAAAGCTGTACATGCTCACTCCCAGTGCTAAATAATTAACAAAACAGCTACATGTTGAAGCTTGAATGGCAAAGAACAAGCGTTTTGCATAATCCTGATATTACGTAACCGAAGGTGCCCTACAGTCTGATCACTCTCTCCAATATTCATTAACAAGCCAAACCATGTAAGGAACGGAAGCAGACACTCAACACGGCTTGGCTGATGGCAATGACAAGGTTTGACATGAAGGACACAGGAGAAAGCCCGGCAAAGTGATCTGGAAATGGAGCTCCCCTTGTTGCCCGCAAATGGACAGATGCTAAGAGCAGGTGTAAACAACAGCTTTCTGCTCCACTCATTTAGTTTCTGGAGGATGTGGAAGCAGTACAGCAGTTACTGTGGAGAAAGCGCCCATCTGCATTCTGCACAGATCCCCTCACTCATACTCAGCAGGGGCCACGAGCTATTCAGCATCCTCTGTGTTTAACATGCTTTCCATGTATCTCTCTCTCACACATGAGTTTATGATAATTCTGTCCTCCAGAGAAAGTTGAGCAAAGATAGGGAAAAAGAAAGAGCAACAAAGAGTGTGTCACTCCTGCAGCAGACAAGTAAAAGCTTAACAATGATCCCCTCGATGTAACTGACATTTATGAAACCATGAGGGGAAACACGTTCTAGTTTTATGATTATCATTGTCATCTCATCAACTAAATTACTTTAGAAATGCCTCCAGTCCAAACTAGCCTGGCCTTCATCTTAACTAATGACTAGACAGAGAGGACTGCTGAGGAAGTTTGAATTTAAAGAGCTGCCATAACCACTGTAGTATGAAGTTAAGTTTCCTGCTGTGATGTAGGCTTGACTTCATCTCAGAAGTCTATGACAGTTCACCAGCATTTACTTCTTGAGAGAATGCAGACTAGGCCCGTCTTTAAAACAGATCAAATACTTTGATCAGATTATCTTCAACTCTTGCAGCTCAGCAGAATAGTCTCTAAACTCGGTCTCAGCTTAGACACAAATTAGACCACGGACCCCCATTTGATAAGATTTTGTCCCAGGAACGCCCATCTGATTGGATGTTGGCTTTTAGATGTTTTATTACTAAAAGTGTATGAAATCCATGACCAAAATAGTCATGCGTTCACTCACTATGTTACTTATGGATGAAATTATAGTGAAAATAAAGTATTCCCCGTTTTGCTGGGGACCACCTGGAACCTCCTCAAGGACCCCTGGAAACCGGCAAAGCTCCCATTACATGACAGGAGATTTGAGGTGGCAGCTGTGTGTGTGTGGCTGTACTGGTCGAGCACAACATAGATTGCCACAGATTTCTCAGGTGGCAGATGGAGCCCTCTAAACAAAATTAATCACCACTTGAAATGAAAGCACAAGGGGGCTTACTTTTACAACAAATAATAAAATACTGAGCATTTCAAGTTCTTCCCCCGAGTTCCCTTAACCAGAGCCCTATAGAGAGAAGGGCTCTGCCTTAAACTAGCTGGAACTAAACAGACATGAAAGGTAGAAATTGATGGTGTGAATCCTTGAATATCTTAACCACACAGCTGAACTACACATTTTATTAATGGAACATTTTAAACTAATTTAATCAACTTAGATAAGGTCTGCCACGGTGGCAATACTTAAGGTTTTGCTGCAACTCCTCCTGAAAAATGTAGAAGTGGTTAAATGTTGCTGCAGAATTAAAAGTCCTCATAAGAGCCTGAGGATTCAAAGTAACGTTAGTGGACCAAGCTACATTTTATTAACCCACTTACATTACCAGCAACTATAACCTACGGCCTTTAACAGCAGGCTACAGCAAAAACGGGTGACTGTTTTGCTGCACTAATTTGATTAATTTACGCTAACGTTACTAAAAACAGAGCAAAAAATTATTCACTATTCGTACGCTTTATTTTGCAAACCTAAGTTAGCAAGCTAGCTAAAAGGATAGACAGCATTCACAACGGTGACCCGGTTTTTAAAACAAAGCTAAACAAAGTGACTGCGTTTGCTCTGTCAGACCATTGACCTGCAGCCAACAACAGCAACTTGTGTAACAGCCAAGTTAGAGAGAGCGTTGGCTCACGGATTAGCTTGTATGTTGGCTAAAGAAGCTAACGACAGTCGGCTAACCTTCAGTCAGTCCGCTGAATGTCCGATGTTTGGCCCTGAGGAAGATATCCTCACTCTCAGCCATAAGTTCCAATGGTTACAGAGTTGTCCGAGCAGAGTACCGTGTGACTCCTGAGCCTGTCAGAGAGTGTTAAGCTGCTGCTGGGTCGCCTCAGCTGTCTTTGCGGCTAGCACGCTATCGGCGGTCGACTACACTGCCTGGCTGTGACTGTGTGTGACTTTCGCTGCAGCGGCACCCAGCGTGGCTGCAACATGCAGTAATAACACAGCATGTACAGGCAAACGCGCTTTTATTTATCCACTCTTAATTATTTACGCTCGGAATAGCAAACCAGGTACTGCCTTTAAACTTTGCTGTTTTAATTAGTCTACAACATGTTATATTTAAATTATGTATACTGAATTCCCAAAACGAGTTTACACCACAGGGCAGCCCAGGGATCACTGAGGGCCCTGTAGGACATCTGGAAATGAGTTAACAACCCAGTTGTGCTATCATTTTACCACAATTGGATGGACATTCTGTCAAAATGACGATTATAACACGGTATTGACTCTATGGGATAAGCACGCACAGCTCCCATGAAAAAGGCTGTATTTGTTTGTTTGTTTCTGTAGGCTATTTGGTTGTGTTTTCTAATTGTGCAGGATTGTTTTTTTAAATGAATGCATGCGTTGTTAAATGGTTTTCTTGCTCTTGTTTTATTTATTTGCACATGTTTCCTTAAATTGCCCTCAGGGCCACGGTACATGACAGAGGCCAGAGCCTTCAGCACCATGGAGAAAGGCCCTTCAAACTCAGTGGGGGAATGAGTACAGGTACTCAAGTAGGCTCCTTTACTTGAGCACAAATTTGAGGTACTCCTACATAATTAACTAGAACATTTTATTAATTTAATGCCACTTTATACTACTCCACTACATTTCAGATTAAACTGTACTTGTACTTTACAAATTAAGATTTTGCACAAGACATATGAGGAGTTAATAGATGTTTTGTTATAAATGAAACTAAAACAAAGTACAGTGTAAATCATTTCATGGTTCCAGCTTCACAGATGTGAGGATTTGCTGCTTACTTTGAATGACCTTAATGTATTGTTAATAATTTTGAGATTTGGACTGTTTTAAAACAAGCATTGTGAAGGTATCACTTATTGTGACAGCGTTTCTCACTATTTTCACAATTGTTACAAAAATCAATCGATTAATGAAGATAAATAATCAGCAGATGAATCCATCATGCAAATAATTGTACAATAGTAAAATCCTGCCTGCCTGTGTAATAATAATCAAATTATATAATATATATAGGCAATAACAGTCACAGGGGATATTTTCTGCACAAATTTTACTTTTAAGTACATTTTCCTGATTATACAAGTTACATACTTTTACTTAACTAACATTTTGAATGAACGACTTTTACTTGAAGCAGAGGATTTTTACAGTGTGTTTTTACAATACTTTTACTTGTGTAAAGGATCTGAATAGTTCCTCCAGCAGTATTCAAAATTCAGCATTATCCATCCATCCTCTTTTAAACTTATTAATTAAATTCTTAACCTGGTTGCTTTAATACTTTTCATTAATTGCTCACTTTTCACTGCATCCAGACAGTTCAAATAACCTCAAAGTTTTAAAACCACAAAATGAATCAACATAGACCACATGTTTAAATAAGCACAGTTTGCAGGTGGAAAATTATCTTACATTTTTATGCTTTTCAGCTCAGTTCAGCTCAACTCAGGCAGTTAATTACATTTTTTTCCTCTCCCAGCAGCTGTTTGGCAAAGAACAACTGCACTTGAAGAGCTTGAGATATCCACTAAATATAAAATGTTCTCCTAAAGTGCTTTGCTTACACCTTAGGCATGTTGTCCCCTGTTTTAAACAGAAAAAATATTTAAGGGGGCAGACATTCTCCAGTCAGATACCATCTGGACATGCGGCCCTTCTCTTTTTCATCTGTGTCAAGCACTGTGTCCATTGTTTTGATGATGAAAAACAGGCATATTACACATCTTATTATTTGGTTGTGTCTTTTGGTTAGGAAACATTTGGAGTAAGGGTCGGGTCTCCATGAGCATTACTGCCTAAGAAAGCCTCACTGTTTTCTAGAAACGTCCAGGGGCCACATCTTTGGTGAAGGGTTTTCAAAATGTATCCCCTGCTTTTAGAAACTCTGCCAGCCTATTAGAGCACATTAACCCACTTGTGATTTCGGGATTTCTAAAACAATGGCAACCTACTACTGGAGTGGAAAGAAAAAGGGGGGGGGAGGCACCCACGCATTTTCTCGATGGCAAAACAGAACAGTGATGTGCGTATTCCAGGACTTATAATATTTCGCAACAAAGTCTCTCTCTCTCTCTCTCTCTCTCTCTGTTCTCAGCCCTCGCAGTCTCACTCCCTCCCCATGTTTTCCTCCTCCTCTCCTTTTGCGCACCAGGCTCTCCCACCCTCGGCTCTTCTATTTGCTCACTGTGCCCTCATCCTCGGTGCGGCTTGTGTCTCTGCCTACTCCTGTGCGTAAGGGCGCACCGATGGATATGTAAAGTGATGCACTCCTGAAAAACACGAAGTCCGAGCCTGCAAATGCCTTTATGAAAAAAAAACACGCATAGATGCGCAGCACAGAGCGCGCGTTGGAGAGCAGTTGGCTAGATTAAGTCAAGTTCATTCAACGGAGATCTATTTTATTCTGCGCGGTCTTTTTTTGTTTGGATGATGATGTTAATAAAGATGTTCATCAGCGCGGATGACGGTGCGTTGCTATTTGGATGTATGTTTCTGGACTTTTCAGCATGTCATGACCGTGCGCCTTTTTTCCTCTCTCCGAGTCTTTTCGTTTCTGCGTGAAGTTGAACGGAGGAGAAAGCACGATGAGAGGGAAATACTTTCTCCTCGGCTTCTTGTTGCTCAAACTTATGGCTCTCGTGTGCAAGGCTGACGGGGAGCCAGGACTGCTCGGAGGATTCGTAATGATAACCACCTCCAACGGCTCCAGGGAGGAGGAGAGCGTGTCCGAGGAGACCCCACACACGGAGGACCAATGTCGGGGTTACTACGACGTGATGGGCCAGTGGGACCCGCCGTTCGTCTGCAAAACGGGCAATTATCTGTACTGCTGCGGCACCTGTGGCTTCCGCTTCTGCTGCTCCTATAAGCACTCGCGGCTGGACCAGAGCACCTGTAAAAATTATGACACCCCGGTGTGGATGAAGACTGGACAGACTCCCTACAAAAAAATCAACAAGCACGACCCCACCAAAGACAAGACGAACTTAATTGTTTACATCATATGTGGAGTAGTGGCCATTATGGCTCTTGTGGGGATTTTCACCAAATTGGGGCTGGAAAAGGCGCACCGGCCTCAGAGAGAGAACATGTCCAGGTAAGTCTCCCGCTTTCTCTCCTCCTCTCCGCCTGGCTGCTTCTCTCAGTGCGCTTGTTTACAAAAAGACTTGCAGTAGTAGCCTACGCACGCATCTGGTCTGGAGCGCGCAACGTGTCGTTCTTTCCCTCATCTGCCTCTGTGCATCTCAAACGTATATTATGGGAATATAATTGAAACAGATCAACACAACATTATTAAACAACAACTCGCTTGAAATGCATTATATATTCTATACACAGGCCTTGGTTTCTGGGCAACAACAGCAACTTATATCATCTTCTGTTTTGAGACTCTTATGACACTGCATGCTCTCTCCACTCCAGTCTATCCATCAATTGTGGTATAACATAACATACCCTGAGCTATACCCTTCTCTCATTAGGTGGGGGTGGTTTCTTTCACTAGGGCAAGGCGGCATTGCGCTCCATTGTGTATCTATCTTAGTGGAGATCAGTGAAAATGCTTTTATACACCTTCACAGTGTAATCCAGGCTAAGAGTGTATGTGTAATGATTGCAGCAAAAATAGGGCAAATTAAACCAAATGTTTTTCATTCATCAGGGAATCCTATTTTCTTCCAGTTCGCTGCACATCTGTTTCATGAAAATATGTTGTACAGCAATGCAGCCCAACTGAATAATTCAATTAACCATGTTATGCACAGTTCCTCATGTTTGCACCCCTCATCCATCACGCCTCTCTGTCTCTCTCCTCCCCTATCTGTCTGACAGGGCCGTGGCCAGCGTGCTGCAGGGCGGGTGTCCAGGTGAGCAGTATCGGGGGGAGGAGTCTCTAGGGATGCATTCGCAGCACTTTGTTTCCAGGGCCACAAACCTCCGTGAGTTGTTTTTTATATATATGTTCTGGAAGTTTTGGGCAGCTCATTGCTGGCTGTTGTGAATTGTGTGTATAACTTAAAGCAGCATGTGGACGTGTGGGTGGGGCGTGTGTCAGTGAAAAAGCTGCTTACTTAAAGCGACTTCAGCGTATCCAGGTTGGTGTCAGAGGCCCTTATGAAGTCACTTGGAGGGATATAAGTGTGTGAGAGTTTGGAATCAAGTGACTCATCACAGGTGGACTCAAACTCATGGCTGGTTGATAGTAGTATAAGCACAGGGAGACCATACACACATCCCCGCAGGCTTGTTCCTATTTTGTTTCAAATGAGAGCATTGGGTTTTGTTTTATCTTTCACCGGCCAGATATCCATCCATTTCATAACACGCTAGAAAGAGAATTATCTTCCTGCCTTTTCTGCAGCTTTTCAAATCCAACCGTTATTCACTGTTTTATTTTGGTTCATGCCCACATGATAAAATGGGAGAGAGAAAAGGGGAAGTGGGAGTGTGTGTGTGTGTGAGTCGGTGAGGAAATGGTGGTGGTGGTAGTGTGTTTGTGTGTGGGGAGGAGGATGGGGGGGTGAGGCTGGGAGTTTGAAGTGTGGCGGTGGTGGTGGTAGAATACAGAGCATATGAATGCCATCTATTTCTGTTTGAGTCCCGTGGGCTGCTACAGTACCGAGCTTCTTTGTGTTTTAACACCAAAGATCAAACAGATGAATGCACACACACACACACACACACACACACACACACACACACACACACATACACACACATCTGTGCGGTACAGACCAGAGCATACAATATATACAAGACATAAACACATGGAAACAGCATTCAGATTCCCTCAAAGTTGCATCATCAATCTATAATTCTTGTGCCAAAGCAAAAGGCAGATCTAAGAGCAGATCAGCATAAACAATACGTATGAGACACACAGTGACTGTACTCACACTCGTCTGGTTAGAGGACTGTCTTTCCCTCATTTCTTGTGTTACTATCCAGCCATGTATGAATGAAACAAATCAATTTCACCAAGTTATTACATCTGGCGTTGTGTTTTAAAGATAACTTTTTCAACAAATTGCCAGTTGGTTAAGATTATTTTGCAGTTTTTCAATGCAAATAAAGTGGCAGCAAGGATTTTGTTCCTAATTGCGGCTTACTTTTTGCTTTGGTTAAAAGAAAAGAACATTGTTTCTTAATTTTGTTAGAGTGCCAATAACATGCACAAAATCTCCATCCCCATCCCCTCCCTCGCAGGTTACAGTTTATGTTTGGAAACTTCACACACTGTTCACAGTTGAGTCTAAACCATCAACAGTGAGCCGTCAAGTCATGGGTGCTGGTGAGTGCTATAAACGTCAGGAAGACAGGAAGTGTACATGTAAGGAGGTGGTGGTGGGGCGGGGGGCTGAGTAGCTGCTTCTGTTGGCGAGAATGAGATAAATATGTAATCCTACAACAGCTCCCCTGGCTAACGACAAGGTGACATAACCCTACTCAGCATGAAGCACTACGCCCACAGACACCATCAACATCATGATGAGAGTACATCTCGTGGAAAGGGGGACTGAAAGGTTGCACTCATCGACATTTTTTTTTGTTTGGTGTTGGGTGGGGGCTCAGTCTCAAATAGATGCTACCTTGAAAAGAGATAAATATCGCTTTCAGAATGGGTTGGGGTCTGCTCAAATCTTTTTTCTTTCCTCACTGTGGGAGAGATGAGAGGAAGGGGTGGCCTATCACCTGAGTGGCCAGGAGCACACTGCTGTGAAATAGCGTTTATTATTTTCAATGTGGACCCTGCTCCCCTGAACCCCTAATCCTCAGGGTTCTGTGTGGTCATGTGAAATGTTATTAACCTCTGTGATCTGGCGGGATCCTCCCTGACAGCCACCCGATTGGCTCACGGGTCCCGCCGCTGGCCGAGGGCGACGATTCATCACTGGTCACGGGGGTTGGGCGTTGGTGGGGGTTGGGTGGTGGTGGTGGAGCGGAGAGGAATTCGATATAGATTTGCTGGATATGGACATGTTTTTTTTGTTTTGTGTGATTAAAGGAAGATAAATTGACTGAAAAGGGCTGGAAGATTTTTCATTGAGAGTGCCGCTGTGGATACAAAAGACAGACGAGGAAGGGAGAGAAGAAAAGTGACGAGAGAGGCAATTGAAATGTAAACACAAGTTTGGTCTGATGTAATGCAGGATGACGTGCTGGGAAATATATAGTTTTTGTGCAAACCACATATTGATTATAGCTTATGGCCAGATTGCCCTATTGCTGGCATCAATGAATCTGATCTGGCAGGTCTTGACTGCTTATATGGGAGGAGAAAATTCCTTTAGGCCTTTTGCGACTGTCAGTCACGTAATGTAATTTGTCTGTAAAGGAATCACTGATGGTCACTGCTGCTTTATCATTTATATAGTTCCCTTGCAAGCACTTTGCTAAATGCATTCATAAACAAGGACAAGAAAATCATATTCCCAATATGTGCTTTGCTGTGCCTTGATAATTTGTAATCATTATCGCATGTACCACACAAATGAGAAACGCACAGCATCAATTAGTAATACAAAAGCTGGAGGTTTGTGTTTGTTATGTTGTGGGCCCCACAAAATGGACACTTTGGTTGCTTTGTGAACCAGAAACAGCCCACCAACCCCCAGGTGGGCCCAACCGGCGGACTTTCATGTCATCTCAAAACCCGGAGACATTGTTTGAATCCTTAAAAGGCTGAAAACCCTGCGTCTCTTCACATTCAGCATCAAAGAGCTGAAGAGGCAAAGGAGGGAGGAATAGAGAAAGGGGGGAAAGTGAGAAAAGCTGGAAGGAGAGAGGACAGTGTATTGTGAGGAGTCAAGCAATCTTAGCAGCAGCACCCAGACTGACGGCATCAACCTTTTTTTTTTGAAGCTCCGAAGGATGGGGCTTTGTATTTGTCGTTCAATATTAAAGCAGCACTAAAGCTATATGCTCATGTTTGGATTGTCATGAAAGAGTCTGAAAACATCTCAAGCCATTGCCACTTAAATTAGAGTGACTTTCATCACAGATGTTGGCACTAGAAACTATAAGTGTAGAGAGTTTCCTAAGTGTAACTGACAAGCAGCAGCAGCTAATCTCATTGTTGCTACACTTACTTTATAATATCATAAAGAAGTTAGTTGTGAAATTTAATTGGAAAATAATAGCTATCCCTGTGAATTAGTACACCGAACCTCCAGTCAGATATTGTACTTAGTCATGCAATTGTCATTTTTGATATCACATTAAAGAGCTTTAGGTGGGCAGCACTATTAGTTTTATTAAGACAAAACACACACAGCTGCACGCACACACACACATACACAGCGCTCTGTATTCACAACTCAATTCACCATTTGCGGGCTTAATTACCTCCCCAGCAGTTATAATCTTTTCCTAAACATTCTGAGATGGGAAGGATGAAATTTTAATAGGTAATTGCTTCTGAGATTGCACAGGCACGCGAAAAGACCCTGTCTGCAAAAGCCTCCTGTTCCGCCTTGTGACTGTGTATGTGTATATGTGTGTGTGTTTGTGTGCGTGAGTGAAGGTGTATGCGTGGGCAGTGTGTATGCAGTGCGTAAGTGTGTGTTTGCGCACAGTGCAGGCCTGTCAAACGGAGCTGTGCATATCCTTCGTTTAAAGTAGGTGACTATGTGACCTTGTCTTCCCAGCTGTCATCTGAGCCTTCAGTGTGTCACATCTGATTGCAGAGTGTCAGAGCGGAAAGAGGAGCTCCAGCTAGTGAACTTACACACCACAGCACAGGCCGTAGAAACAAGCAAAGAGGCTCTGTGAAAGAGAAAATGACAGTGCTGGAGGTAGTTATCTGTGAGACGTCACTCCAGCTCCAGCTCCAGCTCCGTTTGAAGCTCGGCTTCTAGCCTCATGTTCAAACAGAGTTTGTTTTTCAGACTTGTAGCTCGTTGGAGCGTCAGGAAAGCTTCTGCTATATCTACAGCTAGTTTTGATTCATCCAAACCATTGAGGAAAATGTTTGTTTTGTCCCATTTTTTTATGATTTACTTTTGTTCACTTGCTTATTTACAAAGGAATCACACACACAAAAGTCACATGAGCACGGTAGTAATACATTTATTGGCCATTTTCATACATACATTCACTTTCTTGCCAAGAGTTAGATGAGAAGATGGATACCTTACCGTATCTGTAATCTAATGAAGCTACAGCCTGCAGAAGGTTAGCCCAGCTTAGCATAAGGACTGCACGCAGGGGGAAACAGCTAGACTGGCTCTGTCAAAGTAAAAAAAAATCAGACTACAGGCACCTATTAAGCTCACTAATTAACACCTTGTATGTTGTTTGTTTACTCCGTACAAAAACTGAAGCGTTAAAACAACAAGTTGTGGTTTTACTGGGTTTATGCGCCAGACTATTCCTTAGCTGGATATAATGCTCATAAAGCCACAGCTGGTCTTGTTTAAATTTCTTATTTTGTATGAATTAAATAAACAAGATATAATATGTTAATTATTAGGCTTTAGAGGGGCTGGTAGGGTTAGGGTTATCTGAATATGCCTCCAGTACTTGCCGCCATTCTGACAGCTGATTGCACCAAGAAGATTAATATTTGGCCAACAAGGTGGAGACTGAAGCAAGCAAACCACAACCACCCCTACTGAGAGTTATCAATTGAGACACCTGTCAATCAAGACAAACATGGCCCAAAATATGCTTTGCTTTAAGTCCAAACACACATAACATATGAGCAAAACTTTTATTAGCTGTTGATGATGTCCTGTCAAATGGCCAATGGAGAAATATGCAAAACTAAGAGACTAAACTAATCAGATTTCATTCCTCGTATTGTAACTTTAGCTGCAGATAAAAGTCTGCACTCTTTGGCACAATTCGCATTGTCTGCTAGCTGTCAGACATCAACATCTGCCTCCTCATAACACTTTGCATTAAAAGTGATTTAGATTGTTTGAAAAACCCGTCGCTC